TTCAAAAAATTTCAGCCTTCCAGCTTTCCTGGTCCCCGAGTTAGCCAACTTTCCGTCAAAAACATATCCCAATAGTGGAGAGGATTTGTTCATCGCTGTACTTCTGCTCTCATTTCTAGCTCACAAAATAAGGTCTTCACTGCACCTTTGCAGAGGAATTTTTGGCAAATTTCTTGAAAGAAGCAAGAATTGGTTAAATTCACTCGTACAAAATTCATCTCAAATATGAACTTTTAAAAATCAAAAAGGCTTCAAATTTGCCTCACCCATATAAAATTGGGCTCAAATATGAGCTTTTAAAAAGCGAAAAGCCTTAAATGTGTAGAACTTTGTGTGCTTAATGAAATATACGAACTTTTTGACTCAAACCCGATGGAGGGCAGCAAGAGAACCATGAATATTCAAACACAAAAAGGAGCTCAGTAACTAGATATACGTACTCAGAAACTCATCGGGAAGCACTTTAAAATAATAACAGGGAAAAAACAATCAGAACAGCTTAGAATTTCTCCCTCTTTTTTTCTCCTCTCGCATATTCGTTTTGCAAATTAGTTACATGGGGCTTTTCAGCACATGACAGGTAGGAAGCCGTACTGATGATTCCCACTCCTAACCGGTCGCTGAATTCGGTCAGTGTTTACAGCTAAGGGATGAAACACAGAGAGACTGTAAAATGTTTTCTTATATATGACACCTAAGTTGAATCCTTTTATTCTACTATTCAAAAACAGGAAGCTCTCCCATTTTCCCGGTGGAATCAGCGAAGCTATCACCGACTAATATCATTCGATAACATAATTGACCATCTTTTTCAGTCCATCTTTTAATGTATAATATGTCAGAAGTACCTATAATCGCATGATTTATGCACAACAAGTCAGCAAATCGAACAGTAGTGATGCTTTCGTTACGGTCGGTCAGGAGGCGATGCAAAATGGTCCTCAGCTCCGCCGGATGAAGTATACACAAGGCATGCATTTCCTTTTTTCCCTAGTTACCTTTCCCCATCTTACTTCGCTCTTTCTTCGTTTTCTTCCCTTCTTCATCTTTTCTATTTCATTATTTTCCCTTCAACCTTTAATACTTATCAACATTTCATCTTTTCAATTATTGGCTTAAAAAGTACCTATTCTTAAAATTTTGCGCATAAAAATGTTGAACCTTCAGAAGGGGATTGAACCGTTTTCATACGCGAATCGTGGTCCACTTTTCGGCGCTTCCTTCGTGCATGTGTCGTCCTGAAACAACAAGCGTCTTGTTCAGAAGCTACGTCAAGATCACCGAGATTGTTCTCGGTGTAAAAATACCATTGCTGAGGAGTGTTTCTGTTTCTGCTACTTCTGAGCTAAGATTTTGGGTGCATCTCAGCCTCGGTACAGCTCAGAAACACCTGTGCCGAGGCTGAGATGCATCCGAAATCTTAGCTCAACCATGCCAAAGCCTTCTGTCTCCAGGTAGCATTTGCCATCGGTATCATTAAAGGCTGAAGAGGAAATATGAAGAAGGGAAGAAAACGAAGAAAAAGTGGGACAAGCTTCAAAAACCATATGCGGATTCAGGACGGACTCCTGGGGATGGGGGGAAGGGGCGACGGCGGACGGAGAGGAAAGGGGCTTCTGAGGGAAGCACAGGGGAGGAAGGGTGAGGAGGGGATTGCTGTCCCACCCTGGAACTATGCAAAAACTAGGAATACAGTTGTGCAACACTGCTATTTAGAGTTATTTTAGGCTTTAGTTTTAGATTTAAACCCGGACTTTTGCAGCACTGGTGCCTCTGTCGCTAGCAGAGGGTGAAAGATCTATCGCC